ATTCACTCTGCCTCTCTCCTCATGTGTATCACTCTTCCAGGGCCCCAAATTCAAGTGCATTCACTGCAAATTCACCACACTGTTTGGCCCTGGGTTTCTGACGCTGTCACTATTGCTTTCCTTGTAAGAACAGTGACAAGCTGAAATTTGGTGGAGGGGCTGGCTTCCAGCTCCCCAGGGATGTGGGTGTGCGAGAGGGTACGAACTGACGCATTTTGCTTTTCTGCAAACTCTCATATTTTCCCCATCCGTCCTAATCCGAGTTCCATGTACCTCTTCAACCAGTGTTTTCATGCTCTCTTCCCAGGCTTTCATTTCTCCTATTCAAACACAATGTCTAGCCCTAAAGTGTGGCTGGCTTTCCTAGTCTCCACCTATAATAAAAATGAGCCTGGCTCATCAGCAATAATGATGGCAACCTCTTCTCAGGTTTATAGTTTTATTACTCAAAATGCTCTTACTGTGAAAAAATCTCCTTCTGGTTTTACGTGTATAATAAATATCCACACAGGCGGGCATGACCAGATTTCGGTACTGGCTGGCTGGCAGCGAGGGCCTTCTCTCCTGCGTCCACCCTGCACACATCCCAGCTCCGCAGGAAACTGGTACGCAGCCCTGGCCCAGCTCCACAAGAAGCTGGTATGCAGCCACGGCTGAGCTATATAGGGAGCTGGTAAGCAGGGAGCTGGTGTGCAGAAACGTGCACATACAAGATCCCGCTGGACATACAAGATCCTGCTAGTCCATCCCCTCCCTGCCCTTCTAGAAAACAAGAAAAAAATACAAATATGGCAGAAGCCTCTGTGGCAAGTCCTCCGCCACTGGCAGGGGCTTTCAGGCTGGACACTGGAAACAAGATTTGGGAAATACAGCGGGAACAAGGGAAGAGAAAGGAGTGCATGTGCACGCTCATCAATTCCCGACAGGAGTGAGGTTGAAGTGAAAAGCTTCCTGATGACCTCCAACAAGCTACTGAAGCATGAATATAGCAGCTAATTGAGAGGCAGAGTTGATTGCCTGCACTGCACTTAAAGGCTTCAGGTTAAAAAAACACAGAAGAAACGTCAAAGCGATATGTGAAATTATACAGGACACAGGCAGAGAGGGCAAGGAGACGGGAATCTGTGGTGTTAAACCTTAACCATGACAAGCAGCAAAATGTTCAAGTGTTAATTTAGAGCCCAGAGCTGATGGGCTTGCACCTTTCTGCCTTCTGAAGCCTTTGCCTGCAGCAAACAGACATAATCAAATTAGAGGAGGCTGTTAAGCACTGGCAGTAAACTGTCCCCTGACACACACAGGGCTGTGGAATATTGCTTAATAACCTGTAAAATTTCTTTCACTCTCACCTGTTTTTTGGTAGGAAGTGATAGTAAATGCAGGATCAGTTTGTCAGTGATGTATGCAAATTTTTTACTTATCCTTAGAAATGTTAACTGTCCCTGCCTCCAAATACTCTGGCGTCTCTTTAATTTCTTTGAGAAAAGAATATGTTTTAGAAAAGACAGCCAGTGTGGCTGTCACTTTCCTGTTGCGTGTGTATTTGTGTGCGTGTGTGTGCATGTACGTGCGATATAGTAGTGCTAGAGCAGGTGTTGCTCGATGATGTGTTGACACTGAAATTAATGTTTATTCTCAAAGCAGTCATTGTGCATCAGGTTCATTCATTATCCTGGAAGAAGGACAGTTTCTTTCTCTAAACTGTCCTGCAGGCACATTTGTGTGGAGCTCTAAGATGAATTCTGCAGTAATCACCAACGCAGTTTCAGCCACGGGCATGTTATATACATTTCATCCGAAGCAAACAGGTAAAAATTAATGCTTAAGTCATCTCCTAGGACTGCCATGTGAGACAGCTGGTAATACAAATACTTAACATTGTAAAACAAAATCAATATTAAGTCCTTTAATAATGCAGTGATTTTATAAATATTAATAATGAGCATCATCTTACTTGTATGTATTCCGAAGTTACAGCAGTTAGTTACACTAGCGACATTAAACCATCTTAAATATATAACCAAAGAAATCACTGCTGAGAACCACAGATACTTCAACGGGTACAGAGGACTTGGCCACTTCAGATTCTTGTGTTCCTTTGTCTGTCCTCAGTCCCTCTGTCCATGACAGTATTTATAGTGTGCGGTCACATGCTGAGGAAACTTGGATGGTATAAAGGCACAAGAATAACTATAAATGAACCAAAAATGAGCACCCCAGAGTAGCAACAATAAGAAAACCAGAAGGCTTTTGGAAAGCAGTGCATTTTATTCCCACTCCTCGTTCTGCAGTCTTCCACTGATGCTATTAAAATACCTCCGCGCGAGGCAATATTTTTATTTTATTGTGCGACAGTCTCTTTTACTGAAAAAGTGGATTGCATTTGCCAAACTCCCATTTTAATTTAGGGGAATTTACAGGTATAAACAGAATACAATATAATCACATTTCAACTATACATGCAAATATACAACATTGTAACAGCAGCTTTTTTAACAGTCAAAACTGTTTGAGTTTCCGCAAGTTTCTACTAATACTTCAACAACAGTAAGCGGCAAAACATTGAACGCTCCCAGGAAAAAGTCCTGCAACAAGAGTCCAGGGGGAGAGCTTTCCACAGCACGTGCCAAACACAGAGTGTACACTATGGGATCTAAGACTGGCATCCAGGTGGTAAAAAGATCCACATTCCTTGTGGACAGAAAACACTGACCACAGTGAAGACAGATCAGAAATGTGGGTTTCTCTTCAGCCATCTGTACGATTACAATGCAGTTCAATATCGTAACGAGTTCAGTAATACAGGAACTGTAAGTCATAGGCACAAACAGCTTTAGGATGCATTTGAAAAACTAACAAAAACCCTATTATATTAGCCTACAAACAATAAATAGTGCTTTTTTTGCAAAAGATGCTGTATGGACCTTGAGCAGAAAGTAAACATTGTATTCGGCATATAGCCAGAATATCTTGATACTCATGAGCTATACATAACGTGTGATGTACAGATTTCAATGCCCCGTGCCCCAGCTCAGCAGCTCCAGGCTTTTAGCCTCAATGTCTTTATAGCTCTCTCTTTCAAAATTCCTGGGTGATGCCAGGTTACCCAACTTCTGCACTCACTCAGAAAACATACTGTCGCCCCTGACGCCTCTGCCTGCATTTATTGACATGACTCTAAAGCTCCCTCAGAGATCAGTTTTGCCAATATTCCCCGCTGGGTAAATTGCTTGTTTCGGATTGCAGTGCCGAACGCGCTGCGAGGCTAATGCTGCCTCCTTGGCTTGAGAAGGCATTGGGCTAGGCTTAATGAGGGCTGTGGGAATAACTGATTTTCAGTTTGGTGGCTTAATAACTACTAATAATAACAACAACAACAATAAACAACTTGGTTCATTTTTTCAGGAGATGATAACAACTTGTTTCAGCCTGTGGTCAAGATGGCCTGATGGCTGGGGCACCCTTTTGGGATGAGGAAGACTCAGAACCAAATCTCTTCACTGCCTAGCTCTCAGCAAAGGTTTGACCTGAGGATGCCCACCTACCGAAAGGGTATCTGCAGGCTAAGAAATACTCAAACATTTGTTTTCCCAGTCTTTCCTGTTAAACGTATGTGGTACAAAATATTAGAATGTTCAGTAGAGGCCCTGCCGGAGGACATGCTTCCCACTTCCCACAGGAGCACTGGAGCGGCCGGGGTGGCAAGGCAGCTCTGACCCTCGCAGCCCGTGGGGACAGTCTGGGCACAGGGGAGCAGCTTCCACCAAAGCCACGGACGTCTCGGCGCCGAGCGCACCGAGCATCCCAGCCCGGGAGTGCTCGGCCGTGGGATCTGCCGGAGCGCGCTGCAGCTCCCTGCCTGCCTGCCTGCCTGCACTTTCTTCCACTGGACACCCCAGTGGGGGGCCAGCGAGGGCTGATGGGCACAAAGCCATGTCCTAACACGTTGCCAGGATATAGCAAACCTGTCCTGCAAAAGCACCCCTGGGAACCCTGGCAAGATGGTGTCCCCAGTTCTGCTATCAGCCTGTACTTCTGAGAGAGGGAGATGGAGAGGACACCTAGGTTCCAGCCCAGGCTCTGATTCACGCAACTTTAGGGTACAAGGAGGGGATAGCACAAGGCACACACTTTCTCCCTAATTTTTTTATAGCCCTCCCAAATCCATACATATCAACATTTCCAAACTCTTTTATTTGGGTCAAGCTAATATTCCCAATGCTACATGTAGTTAAAGCTCATAGAAAAACATCCTTCTTTTGCTAACCAAAGCTTCTCAAAGGTTCAGATCTGGTTCTGCTCTCATGTGCACCACTGCAAGACAAAAGTACTTGTGCTGAAGACACAAACCACCCAATGTAAACCAGGTCCAAGGCCCAGCCTGGCCACAGAATCAGGGAGAGTTTCAATTCTTCAGTTAAGAGGGTGAGTGTACACCAATATAATTGAAGTGGCACAACCTCTAGCCCCATTGCAATTGTATTGACACAGAGGAGCACATAAAAGTACAGTTAATAGGAGCTTATATATTGTAGGAATACATTTATATAGCGTACCTACAATTGGACGGATACAGATACGGCAGTGCATCAACAGAGCCTCCGAATGGTGTTAAAGTCACAAGGCTCCAGACACAAGCTAAGTTACAGGCCACCACCGTGTCACTGGCACTGCCAACTGACTCAGTGGTACTGATGTCCCTCATAGCCCAGGCTGCTGGGCAAGCACCCCGTGACCTCCCATTACCCAACTCTCTCTGTGTCCACAGCAGAGGACTCGGCAACTTTACCTGTGGTGGGTCTAAACTGATGTACTGAAAGCAGCTGAAAGCAAGCCCAAAGCATGAGCAGACTCTGACCTTTTGCTTTTTGACAATGAGGTAAAGTCATCCTACATGATTTGGATTTGTCAGCATTGATGTGGAAATGTATGCTCTGCCTTTCCCCCTGTACAGAGAACCAGGTGTCTGTCCTCAAGCAAGCAGTTTTCAAACCTGCTTTTTAAGGGTTTGGTAGCTCTTCATTCTCTATCAAATAATCCTTCTTTATATAATTAGCACCCCTCACCAACCTCCATACTCCAAGATAGGCATCCTTCAGCGAGCTCCTGTTCACTTCTTGTGAGCCAGTGGCTTTTCCCTGGACCGCCGGTCCCTTGGCAGGTTTCTCAGCACCGTCCTTCTCCTCCTCTCTGACCTGGCTGTCCCCCGTGGCTGATGCTTCCACTGCTGCTTCCTCAGCCCCCTTCTCCTGGGTAATTGCCTCCATCGCAAACAGTGCTTGGTCCCCAGCCTGCCTTTTCCCCTCCTCTTCTCCAGCTTCTTTCTCCAGGTCCTCGTAATTGCCCTGCCGCCTGGTCTCAATGTACTTGGCCACGCAGTAAATGATAGACCCCAAGGTGTTGACCACAACACCGGCTATAAATAACTTTGTGGGCTCCACATCATTGAATGCCACCATGCCCACTGTGATGGTTGCTATGCTCTTCACCACCCCTACGAAGCTGGTGGTCACAGCTGAGTTAATGTAAGTGCAGTGAAGGGTGGTAAAGTTCATGGCACAGCTAATCAGGACGCAAGCGATAAAGATGCATACCATGGCAGGGTCCTTCCACCCCGGGAAGGACCAGACATTGATGGAATCCATGCTGGCAAAGGAGCAGATGATCAGAAAAGGGGTGGCTGAAACAGCGATGGCATACTGAGCTGTCAGGGGTCCGTATTCACTGTCTACACTGGTCTTCTGAATGAGCACCAGGTAGGCAGCGTGTATCAGCACGGCCAGCACGCCTGTCACATAGCCCATAGCATCACCAGTCAGGTCACCAGCTCCTGTCAGGAGAGTCACAGAAAGAAACCAGCATGGTTTTTGCATGTAAGACAGAAAGAGAGCCCTGTTTTGGGCTAGGGGGATATTTAGGAAATAGGCACCTGTGCCCTTTCCGTAACTCCTAAGATTCATCATGCTTTTCCCAAGGCTGAACACATTTACGTCCCAACAGACATATCTTTTGTGTGTGTGTGTGTGTGTGTGTGTGTGTGTGCATGCTGCAGACCTGTTGAACATTACCCACTCTCCCCATAAATCCCACAGCCAAAATCAGATTATGTTCTCTCTTTTGTGAAGACACTATGGGAGATTTGCAGCTGAAATCCCACATACGCACAGCAACGCTGGGCATCCTCTTGCGAGTGCGGGCACGCGTCAGCTCTGGCTGGCGGGGCTCCCTGCCCTCCAGCCCCCCAGCCCTCCTTCTGCTCCCCAGAACAATGCCAAGCCCTGAGAGCCTCCCTGCTGAGCCCCGTCAGCTTCTTTGCAGCTTAAGGTACTCGCCATGTGTGTGTGCTCTGTCCCCCGGGGCAGCCCCCAACCCAGGAGTGTTGCCGGGCCACACAGAGCCAGTTTTGCCTCCCACCCCACCTACACCTCGGCTGGAAATCAACACAGGTAGGGCCCCCGGCCGCGTGGGGTTGCAGCTGACCCCAAAGGTTGTGTCTACGCCTGTAGGATTGCACTTAGCCCAGCAGGGCTGCGGCTGCCCCAGAAGACTCCATCTACCCCTGTAAGGCTGCACCCCCCCCCCCATAAGACCACACCTCCCTCTGTAGGGTTGCACCTTCCCTAACAGGGCTGCAATAAGGTTGCACCTCTAGCCGTAACCGACTCCCACAGGTTCGCAGGGGCCCCTGTAGGGCTGCACCGGCTCCCGTAAGGCCGCAGCGATCTGCGCCGGGTTGCGCTCAGCCCTGTGAGGTCGTTCCTGTCACAGCGGGGCTGCAGCCACCCCGCCAGGTCGCACCTGCCCCCGTAAGGTTGCGCCTGCCACAGCGGGGTTGCGGCCGCCTCCCCGCCCGGGGTTGCACGCCGGCCCCCCCCGCCGTATCCTCGCGCCTTCCCCGCGGGGTGCCGCTGCCCGCCCCGTCCCGCCCCGAAGCCCAGGCGGAGCGGCGGGGGCTGCCGG